CTGGTAAAACTTTAGAAAAGCGCTGGCTAGGTCCCTCCATGATTGGATATGACTTCTTTCTAGGTCTGTGTACCAACTTAATGACGCTTCACTCAGACTTTCTTGAAAACAGTGGATCATCAGCTTATCGTCATGAGTGTAGGGGGTCATTTTTCGACAGTACATCACCAAATGACGCCTTGGGCAACTATAGTCTGTGTACTTCTCGAAGTTGGGCATCTTGAATCTCTGAGGACTCACCAAGTCTAGCACTAGACACATATCAGCAGCATCGAGTCCGGGCATATCAGGCACTTTCATCGCTTGAAGTGTTTTCTCAAGGGCACGAAGCTTTTCTTCCATGGGATTAGTCAGCGGCATCCTTTGGGGTCGAGTAGGAATGTTTACTTGCGGAGGATGGCTATCTGGAGGAAGATCATACAGTGGATTATTCATCACGGTAAATCCTTATGGGGGATTAACATTCTGGCGATCATTCTCTGACATAGCTATCTCAGCTTGCATTGTTTGATTGGCCTTTCAAGGCGTCTATGCTCCTCTTGCTTCCAATGCTTCACAACTCTCACGAGTTCAACGGAAGTGTCAGGAAATCAACTGCGGGTTATGAACAAAGGATGGGTAAGCTGTTGGTATCTGGTTAGGGGAAATGCAAAATAATGCAGAAATGCTTATGCAAATGCAATGCAATGAGTGCACACGAGAACAGATCCACATCAAGGATTAAAGTTACAGATCCTGCAAAACAACAACAAAAGGTATCTCTCCCATCAGGTGGGTAATCTATTGGTTTATAAGAGGGTATTGCAAAGGCTTTAAAACAAAGTCCCATGCACTAACCCTCAAAATTTTTCTATCAAAACGACTACTCGTAAGACGGTAATCCCTTCAAAGGATGAACACAGAGTTATGTTTTAGGAACCTTCAGAATAAGATTCTACAAAAGGTCCTCAGAGTCACGGACTCCCAAGTTGGAAATAAAGACGTCATTACGACTACACGTAAGACAAAATCATCCCAAAGGGGTCTTATCTAAGCGGTGGAATTTGATCCAACTCAACGAGTCCTAAGTCTCGCAAATTAGAAAGAAACCACCTCCTAATCTTAGTGTATACTCGAAAATCTCGGGTAGAAAGCTTTTGTTCTTACAAACCAACCCAAATAAACCCAACAGGTTAGAAAACAAAGCACAAATAAATGAAGCAAATAACAACACAAACACGACAAACAAATTAGGCTTGGCTTGCTAGGAGTCGCCAGTAGAGTCGCCAACTGTCTCTACTCGAAAAATGCACCGTGCAACAACGAGGAGGCGAAAAAGATACACAGAAGAGTCGCCACCGAACTTTATTTATCCCATGAGGGGAAAGGAAAATATCGAGAAAACCTTAAGAAAGAAATGGATAAGATGGTCTCGCGACCAAGAACGGGTTCGGAAGCCGGTTATGCAAGGGGAAGGTATTAGCACCCCTCGCATCCATCGTACTCGATGGGAACCATTTGTTTGTCGATATGTGATTATATTTGCTTAAAGATTATGCTATAAAAGAGTGTTCCTAGGGATAGGGAGAAAAGGGTTAGAAATTGGGAAAAGAGAGGTAACGGGGGGAAGAAGAGAAAGAAAGGACTCGGTAGGACTTCACGGTCCTAGGCCTACGTATTCTCAATAGGTATGAGAAAGTCAAAGTTGAAGTAGTTCGGGGCTACGGATATAGGGGGAATGTGCTCGGCAAGGATTGTATCCATTGTGCCTACGTATATTTACTCAAAAGAAGTAAAGAATCATAGCAGCCGTAGTTCGGCCTACGGTTTGCGGGTAAGATCTGGTAGACGATGCTATCGTGCACATTCTAGCAGTTTAGGTGTTTTGCTGCTCGCATGTGGGGAGACTTAAGTGTTACCTGTTTGCAGTAGAATGGACGTAGCATGCCTTTCTGGGAAAGGGTGGAAAAGAGAAAAGGGTGCTCGCTAGGATATCGCAATCCTATGCCTACGTATTCTCAATATGCATGAGAAATCAGAGCAATGTAGTTCGTGCTACTACGGGTAACTGGTGTTTTTGTGGATGATGTTATCATGCGCGTTCTAGCAGTTTAGGTGTTTTGCTGCTTGCATGTGAGGAGACTTATGTGTTACCTGTTTGCGGTAGAACGGACGTAACATATCCTTTTTGAAAGACATTAGTTTTCGCCATGCGAGGCAAGAAGGCACGTTTGATTGGTTGAATTGTTTTTAGAGGCGAGATAGGTCCTCGAATAGTAACCCCTTGCGGGTAGTACCCAATTCTTTATCTCAAAGTTTTTGTTATAAAATGGTGTGGCGAACGTAGCATCTTCATATTGAAAGATGAGTATCAAAACCACACACACTATAGTGAGTATCTTGACACTCGGAGAGGAAGAAGTCTACACTTAATCCTCTCTCTTTAGTTCAATGCAAAGAGAACTTCGTTCTCTTATTAAAGATGTTTTTAGTTTTGAATGGTAAGTGTTTTGCGACAGAGAATCCTACGGTAAACGTCAGCACTCGGGATAGGAGAAGGCCTACGTCTAACCACTCCACGACTATTCAAGTTTTGTTATGAAAAGAGTTTGAAAATGCACTCGGTGCGGGGCCGAGGTTTTATGTGAACAAGGATGCGGAAGGAAGTTGTGAAAGTGAGAGGTGGTGAAAAACAAAGTTTATATAAAATCCGGTGGGCTTTAGCCCAACCGACCAACAACTGATCAAATAAACAAAATAAATTAAAATGAAAAAAAGAAAGATAAAAAAATCCTCTCCTTTTGATGTAACGACATTTCCTTCTCTATATCCACTCAAACCTCTCTCGCCAATCTCTCTGTTGTCATTCTCTCAAAAACTTACCCTCTCCGTTTCTCGATCTCTATTTCCTTCTCATCTCACTCCTCTGATTCTTGGTTCAATTTCTGTGTGATTCTGATGTGGGTTTGGCTGAGCTGTTGATGATGAACAGGTTTGTGTGGGTTTTCGGATGGGTTTTCAATTTTGGGTTGAAGCTCCATGGTTGTTGAAGGTTTGAAAGGAGGAGATGGAAGTGGTTAATTTTTGGTTTAATAGAGGAGATGTTGGTTTGGTGGAATGGAGAAAGAGTTTCGTTCATGGAACTTTCGAATGGTTTGTTTGAGCTTTGATTTGCAGATGGTTCCGTTTTAGAACGGCGGAGGGTTTTTCTGATTCGAGGTGGATTTTTAATGAAGAATGAGGGTGGAGGAGAGTTTGAGATGGGCTGTTTGAAGAAAGTTTGATTTGGAAGGTGAAAATATGGGTTTTGTTAATAGGTTTGTTGATTGAAGTTGAAGATGGAAGTTTGAAGGTTGTTGATGAGATTGCAGATGAATGATTTTCGGAGGAGGTGACGGCTAGGGTTGACAGATTCTAGGGTTGGGATTAGGGTTTTGCTGAAGAAGGAAATGAATAGTGCCTTTATACTCCAGCTTCTGACACATGGCATCCTAATTAAAGCTTAAAGATTGATTAATTAAGATAAAAAAGCTGTAATAAACTCCTAATCTAATAATAATATAATACCAAATAATCTAAACTTCTAATTAACTTTAAAAAACTAAATAAATAATAATAAAAAAACCTAATAATATTATAAAATTCTAATTAACTAAAAAACTAATAATTAGCTAACTATAATTAAAACTACTAATTAATATTCTATGTTAAAACTATTTCTAATAATAAATAAAAATAAATAAAATCTAATAACTATTAAAAGAAAAGAAAAAAAAAATCTATTTAAAAACTATTGGAAAAAACTAATTTAAAAATCTGTTTTTATGTAAATAAAAAATAAGATAATTATAATTAAACATGTACAAAACAAATGAATCATGAAAAAGGAAAAAAAAAAACAAAAAGGCTCAAGTGGGATTTGAACCCCATCCTTCAAGGTAAGAAGCACAAGTCCATCCACTAGGATGGATATACATCCATTTACAAAATTGCATAAACAAATATATATTACATATGAAATATAAAAAAAACAGATTTAATTAAAATATACTTATTTAAACTAATTAATAAATAAACAATGATTCTATTAATTCTGATAACTAATCTAAATTAATAATTAAACATAGCTCTAAACAAAATAATTTAAACTAAATCTATAAAACACTCTAATTAACTCTAAAATAACTTTAATATTCAAAACTAATTAAAAAATCTAATAAAAATTATATTAATAAAAATTATATTAATAAAAATCTAAAACTATAAAACTAATAAATAAATAAAATAGATAAAAACTAGTAACTATTACAAAAAAAGTCTACTTGAAACTAAATCTATATAAAAAAAACTATATGATAATAAAAACCATTTACAAATTATAACAAATTAATAAAAAACTAATTCTAATTTAATAATACTAATAATTAATATATAAATCCTAATTAAACCAAAAATAATATTAAACAACTAAAAGATAAATTCTATTTAACTAAAAAGCTATTTCTAAACTCTATAATTAAATCTATTTAAATAAAAATCTAAATGTAAATAAAAATGTGTACAAAATATTATATTTATAAAAAAAGGAGAAATTAAATAAATAAAAGGAAATAATATTTATAAAAATACCCTTTGGCCACGTGTCACGCTTTTATTGGGCAAAATAGTCGAGATTTAAAAAACGCCCAATCGGGGGCGGACACGTGTCTAAACGACATGAAATTAAGTGAGAAATGCAACAACAAAAAAATAGAAAATGCAAAAATATTTACAAAACTTATCGGGCAAATTTAGGGTATGACAATTATTAAAGAAAAATTCAAAGTGTTGAAGGAAAGACTCAGAGATGTAATAAAGATGTTTTTGGGTGGCACAATCTTAAAATTGATGAAGAAGTGGAGATTATTAATGAGGTAGATAACTAATTGACCATTAGTGATGAGAATGGTGTGAATGAGCTAGTAAATATACGCTCAAACACGTGTAAGTCGATGTGGAGGAGTTTGTTCATAAAAGATAATATGCTACTCCAAAAAGCTATGGTCAAGTGGAATCGAGATGGCGATCTGAATTTGAAATATTATCACAAATTGATCAAAGGGAGATTTAGGAGGAAATATATTGGAATGGTTGAAGCTGAAAATGGTATGGTAGACTTAGTTGAGAATGTAAAAGAGGTTGTTAGAAGTTTCAATGACAAGTTTACTAAACCAGAATCGAACAAACTCTTGTTGGAAGGTTGTTCTTTTAAAACCTTATATGTGGCTGAAGCAGAGCATTTTGAGGCTCCTTTCATCGAGGACGAAATCAAACCATCTGTTTGGAGCTGTGATGGAGCAAAACTTTGGGGCCCGGATGACTTCAATTTTGTGTTCATTAAGAAGTGTTGGTTCATTTTGAAGGAGGATATAACTTTGTTTGTGCATGATTTTCATCGTCATGCTTACCTTCCTAAAGTTGTTACATCTTCTTTGTTGACCCTCATCCTCAAGGTAGCTCACCCCATCAATCTTGGTGAGTATAGACTCATATGTTTGGTAGGAAGTTTGTATAAAATCTTGGCTAAATTGTTGGCAGCTAGGTTAAAAAGGGTAATTGATGGTCTCATTTCTCATTGTCAAACAATATTCATTCATGGTATGAAATTGTTGGATAGAGTTTAGTTGCTAACGAAATTGTAGACAAAGCTACTAGAGGTAAAAAGGAATGCATTCTTTTCAAAGTTGATTTCGAAAAGTGCATGATTGTTTAATTAGGAATTTCTTCGATCTTTGATGAACAAAATAGGGTTTGGAGAAGTTGGATGAGGTGGATGGTGTTTACTGTGAATTTTGGTAAACAACCGCTGGTCTATCAATTCAGGATAAAATTGACTAACTTGCAAGATTGACCATACTTAATCCTAGAACATGTGCTAAGTTGTGCAAAGGACCCTATGTTGAACTCCTCGTTCAACTGTGAAACCTTTTGAAAAATAAGATGCTTTAAAGATTCCACTCTGAACTCCACGTTCGACTAGAGACCTTTGGAAATTAAATTGCAAGAAGGTAAATGGCTTTGAAAAGAAATGGGCGAAAGATTAAATATGCAGAAAAGTTTAAAGAGCGTAAAATAACTCCAATCTGAACTCCACGTTCAACCAGGGGATCTTTCAAAGTAAAACGCAGGAAAAGCTTCTAAAATGGTTTAAATATAAAGACTGAAGGTTAAAGTGCAGGATAAGTAAAGGCGCATAAAGGATAAAGGCAAGTAAACTACGTTAATGAAAAGGGTTTGGTGTTGTATCACATACATTCTCGTTAACTCGTTTCTCTACACGCGGGTACTTTGAGTTGTTTAGAGTGACTAGTATAAAATGAATGAACACCCCTATTACATAAAATTTACATCTATTTATAGTGTTATGGAATAACTACTACATAGCGGCTGAGACTTCTTTTTGGCGCTTCTTTGTTATTTCAACCGCTCACATGTTCTCTTTTGCTTGATTTGAATTTTGAATAATTGATAATTCCCTCCAATTTGGCGAAACCGTCTTCATGTTTTCCTTAGCATGGTCTTCGTCGAGCGTTTTCCAACACTTAGCGTTTTTTTTTGACACCTTAATCCATCTTTCTTTGACTTGATGTTTTCCTTGATTGGGTCGAAACCCTCTCACATACCAAGTATTGATAATTTTGACCTAAGCTAGCTCCGGTCTCGACTAGCATCGAAATTAGGAGCCAACAAATTGCCCCCAAAATTTGCCCTTTCGCCAGTCTTGGGTAGGAAGGATAGTTTTTCCATCGTTTTTGATGCGTGTCACTTTGCACGGCTCTGATTAAACTCCCACTATCTTTTTAGTGGCCTAATTATTCAGTTCTTTTCCTCCCACGTTTATGACATCACACCATCATGGTAAATCCTTAAACATCTTTTCAGCCGTATTTATCATTACTTTGTCTTGAAAACATACATTTGTGGTCTGACCATAACTGCCCACACGCATCCTCTTCCTCCAAACCAACACGTGTCCCACTACTTGATCATTTTTAACAGTGGATTCCACCCCTTTGGGCTTTTCAAACGTTTACAAATACCTCCTCTCACTATTTTATGAAAACTTTCTACTCCCCAGAATTTTAAATGTCCTATATCTTTCTCCAGCTTTCTTCATCATATTCTTCAGAAAACTCATCTCACTTTTAAACACCAACAATGGCTTCTTCCTAGTCCACTGCTCAGGAGAAGAAGACTCAGAAAGGACGTGTTACCAAACTAAACAAGCCACCCCCCCTTTCATAAACCTGGCTGGCCCTCAAATGGTGGAAAATTGTCAATGTGTTCCGGAACCCACCTCTGAAACTGCCAAGAGCATTTATCACTCACAGGTAATGATTCCTCTGATTGTTTCAGGTAAACCCTACGCAATATTCGGTCCTTTAGTGCAAGTTGACATTTTTGACGCACGACTGAGTGAATTTCTGTCGTCTTACCGGAGAACTAAGCCATTAGGGCAAAAAAGTTTCCCTGCGCCTTTTACCAATATTGTTGACACTACTCCATTTCCAACTTTCAACCTTGGCTACCTTGCTGATGGTACTCGTTTACTAAGAGCGTTAGACCCCTGAAGGATTTCGACCTCTGGATGGCCAAAGTAGAAAAAGTTAAAGCTGACCACTGGAAATCCGTGGGGATTTATGATCTTTTAATGTTGTCGAAGACTCCTTTTACATACTGTTTAAATTTACTGGTGGCCTCGCTGTATTTCTGGGATAGTACCCATTACACGTTTCACTTACCATGTGGGATGGTTTCTCCTACCCTCTTTGACGTAGCCGCTATCACCGGCCTTCGTCCCGACGGTGTTTCCTATCAACCTGATGTTGATGCTGAGGATTATATCAACATCCCAACCTCTAAACTCACCTACACTCATTTCATCAACCATCACTTCGATCAAACTACCGAGAATGTGTCTGACGAAGAGCATGTGGCGTTCCTCGCCATGTGTCTGTCACGATATGTATTCTGTACCAAGTCTCTACAGGTAGCCAAGAAATACCTACCTCTTACCAATCAACTACACCACAACAAAGGTATCTGCCTGATTGAACTTATTCTGGTGACCCTTTATGAATCATTGAGTGAAACGGCTTCTCGACTGAAGCGTCTAAAGGCCCGTGAATCTATGTCTTTGGCTGGTCCTCTATGGTTGCTTCAACTATGGTTGAATGCTACCTTCGAGACTAGCCTTCCTAGGAAAGGACAAGCTGTCAAGACGTCTGCTGAGATTGAGGGGAGGCACGTCGAATGGCCTCGTTTGGTCCAACTGACCCCAAATGATGATGACATCACTATCAGAGAAGCATTTACTAGCTATATCCTGATGTTTTTCAAGTGTTCTGAGTTTACTCCTAACATGGAACCTTTTGCCGTAAGGAAGTTTGGCCCCTTGTGGTTTGAAAGGCCATTTTCTACTCCTCAAAGACACGATGATGATGACTCTATTGCAATCTGGGAAGCTTTTTTGATTCCTAGATTCATTGTTAACAGGCTCGACGCAGGGAAAGGTTTAGCTTCCTTGATTGTGTATCAGCCTAATCTTGTATCTCGTCAATTTGGGTTGATTCAGAGTTTCCCCAGATGCTTGTATCACAAGAATGGCCAAGTGATCCTCCATACTACCAGTTTCTATGAAGACATCGTTGCTGATGTCTTTGCTGAATATAGTCACAAGACGGGCATTCTCTTGCCCGTGTTTTTTGAACCTTCTATTTTATGCACTTCTTCTTTCCACCATTGATGGTCAAAACATTATGCTGAATATTTCCTTGATTCTGCTACTTTTTCTTCACTGCTTGATCAATCTTTCCTTGCTATGCAGGACAAGTCAAAGAAAAGTAAGCTTACTCACATTCAAGTAATTCAAGCTTTCCAGAAGTACTTTGAAATTGTTTATCGACCAAATGACCTTAGTCGAACCATTCATGAGGCTGCTATCACCTTAAAAAGAAACTTTTTACAAAAATTGAATAACTTAAAAATTCCCCCTAATGTTCCTCGTGAGAAACGTTATGAGGTAGCTTTTAAACTTTTTCCTCCTAGGTTCCCTCGCTTGCCTACTGCTGATTTTGGAGTGGCAATTGCCCCTCCATTTCCAGACTGGTTTATGTGCTGAGGACCTAAAAGTCCTTCCACAGTAATCCCAACCAGAGGCTCAACGGGTGGTTCCGACTAAGTATACTTTAGACAATTTCAAAGGACACCTTCATATAGGGATTCAAAATGTTCGGATCGAATCTGACATATATGAAGGTTTGATGCCCTTTGCTTATGATTGTACCATTAATCTTTCACCATCTAATTGGTCATCATATATTGTTTTTCAGCTATACCTAGGAAGGCTCCACCTACAAGGGCCACCACTTCTCAAAGTGGCAAAGAAATTGAAGGCAAAACGGTATGCATCATATCCTTTTCCTAATCTTCCTTTTGTGTGATTCTTCTCTCACACTTGCACTGTCTCTTTTTGTTTTCTTAGACTGGTCACAAACCTCCTACTCCTTCAAAGAAAGGCAAGAAGGATGCCTCCATCGTTGTTACTTCAGATTCTGATGAATCTCCTGAGGAGGTTCTGGTAAAAAAGAGAAAGAAACCTGCAAAGGCATCTAGACTCACTGGCCCACCTCCGTCGAAGGTGGCCAAAATTCTTGGTTCGACATCTACTCCTGGTGTCGAAGAACAACCCCCTGTGGCCACTGTGAAGCCAACTTCCAATGATCATGGGGATGGAAATTCCAACTCTGGTGCTACTCCAGCTCCGGTATGCACATTATCATTTGGTTATGTACACTTTTTTTGCTTACCTTCTTAGCCTTATTTTCTTTACTTGTGTTTTCAGGCTACTACCATTACTACTAATCCACCTCCAATATCTGATGCTTCTGCTACTTATTCCATCAATAGCCAAGGTGAGCCAACTTATCACCCTTCTTCTGACTTTGGCTCTGGCTTAAGCGAAGTGAACCAACCTGTTGTTCCTTCTGCAGGAACAAAAACTCCTTTAGCACCAACCACTACATAACAGGCCCATACCGAAGATTGCAACTCTGGGGAAGACGACGCTTCTAGTCCCCCACCTCACATTCAAACTGACCCTATGGTCACTGATGAAGTGACTATCATACAAATCCATGTCCTTTCAAGCACACCAACAACTGACAACCTGCCCCCAGTTATTCATGAAAAACTACCAGCAAACAGATATCCTGAACCTACTCCTATCCCCACCAATCCCCCATTTACTGATGATCAAGAGGAAATAATAAGAGTCATAGAGGAAGAGGCAGTCAACAAAGACAAAGACACAGGAGAAAAAGGAGGCTCTGAAGAAACTGATGATGAAGAAGAAGAAGGAGAGATGGCGAACGAAGAGGACCAAACTAGTCCCGACACCCAACATACTTCGCCGATAACAAAGAAGCTTACACCTATCGTGACCCCTGAAGATCCTCTAATAGCCCTTAAGTGGTCGAACCCCAGGGAGTATGCTAAGAGGATTCTTGAGCAAAAATATGGTCTTGCTTCTGGCTCTTCGACACCCTCCAATTCTCCTTCTTCAGACACTCTTTTTAATTCCATCCTTCAATCCATTAAGAAGAAATTCTTCAAAGGGGACATC